GTGGTGGGTGGTGGGTAGTATATATATATATATATATATATATATAAATTTATAAATGAGATGGAGGAACAACCCACCCACCTCACCAGATAGAACATATTACAATTAGCACATCTTTCAATGCGCGTAATGCTCTCTGGCAGCAATGTGCATACGCTTGCGCATCCCTTGCCGCCCGTGCGTGTCTATGCATGTCAGAGTGTGCGCATATGCATCACAATAGACAAACACACCTCCACTGAACCGTGACTTAGAAGCGATGAACTCTCTCAGTATCTGGTGATAGAAGTCATTGTCGTCAAAGACCTCAGGGTCGTAGTTTTCCTCGCGCGCGGCCTTATCGATTTGATCGTCCGTTCCCTGTCGTAGGCCAATTGTGAGAGAAGGTTGATCAAACACTGGCGAAAGACCGTACACACACTTAGCACTCTGCACCCGGGTGGTATATCGGCCATTGGGTGGATTCTGATCAACACACATAATGGACCAATCAACGGACATCTCTGAAAATGTATTCCTATTGTGTCACGACTGATATGTCATATTTTGGACTCAAAACACTTGGAGTGCACCTATAAATGTATTTTCGGACAGCCCCAAAACCATCAGAAAGACAAAGACAATCCTGATATGCATCGGCATGTACCAAAGCCAAAGAATAGGCCCCAGCTATGCGTATGTTTGTGCGGTGATCAATACGTTTGTCTAATAATGTTTCACTTGGCTGATGAACCGATGCAGACACACCTTCTCGGCACTTTCTGTGTCTGTGGGTACTTTGCCCATCGGCCGCAAGGCCAACCGTTTCAATTGGGTCCGTTTCACCAGAGTATCCGAGTCCGCCATCATTTGATCTACCTGAGTGGGTATGTCCCTGAGACAAAAACGTATAACGTATATGCGTGGGATAGTTAGTATATGCTATACAGATTACATACGTGAGTACATCACATAAACGCGAGCTTGGATCACAGCATAGGCATAGTACAACTACTTCCGTTGATATCCACCCGATGGTCCGAGTATGGGCACTGCGGAAGGGCCAAGCGCTATTCGCTGACGCAAAGTGACAAGGATTATAAGTTAAGATAGTACGTAAGTATTCAGAAGTAAAGGGTATCCCATCCCTCTCACTCGCCATAGACACGCACCTCCACACACCGTACACTAGGGTGTAGTTGCACTCGTACTGTGGTGGTGTATACGTGTATGTGTAGGTGTAGGTGTATGTGCATGTGCATATGTATATATGTGTACCATTCTATTCCTCATCCTCACAACGTTCAGGCAGTAGTCCCGTCTGCTCTGGTCCAGTCAAGGAACGATATACCGTTCATTTGGTGAGAGCAAATACACAACGCAGAGGCTCTTCCAGCTGTGTATGTGAACAACAACAACTGTCCGTCTGTCTGTCACACTTTTCGCCCATATAAAGGCCCCCCTTCTGATGTATGTTTAGGCCTCTCACGTTCCCACAGACAAGTTGGTTGGTCCATCACACCAATACGAGACAGGTACAGACACCCATCCTTGAAACCCCAAAACACAGCACACCCCACACGTACGTATGCACAACCAACCGTTCTGTGACACACGCTCCACGCACGAATACACGAACCTGCCCCCAGCCCCCCACACACCTATTCACGCTCTTGAGCTGTTTACTGGATGCGTTACTGGACGATAGCAGCAGCTTGGTGTGCCATCCCTGGAGTGTGTGTGACCTGTACGCTGCGATGTCTTGTTCCACGGATTTGGTGTACTTGTGGTACGATGACGAGTCGCCCTCTGAAAGCGACGGTCGTCGTTTCCTCTTTTTGCTCTGGGTTTGCGAAGGGTTTGGTTTAGCTTGTACTAAGAGAACGGTGCCTGAGAACTCAATGGAACATGCACTGAAGCGGCTGATACTATAGATCCACATATCTCAATCAATAAGTAGACGAGTTCTCGGGCAAAGGCGGAGAAGGACGACGGAATAAGCATCATCACAAATAAGAGAACGGTACCTGAGAACTCAATGGAACATGCACTGAAGCGGCTGATACTATAGATGCACATATCTCAATCAATAAGTAGACGAGTTCTCGGGCAAAGGCGGAGAAGGACGACGGAATAAGCATCATCACAAACCCCCAGGCACGAGGATGACATTGATAGGACATTCGTAATGTGTGGATATACACGCTCTTGTGCTATAGTCACGTTAAGTAGGTAGAAGTACACCCCACACACCATAATTATATGACATCGTTATACATATACAACACTACAGTCACACCAGATAGACAGTAGGTAATAATACACACCACACACCATAATTATATGACATCGTTCTACATATACACCCACACTACAGTCACACCAGGTAGACAGTAGGTAATAATATACACCACACACCAGAATTTCACTGCCGCCCTGAAGCAACAACTCGCTCTGTAGCTCCAGCAGACTGTCAATGAACCCACACGTGCTTTTTTTTGCGGCTTCGAATGATTTGGTCAGGTCCGCTCCTCCTCTTTCCAACATTAAGGGCAGGACATCGGCCTGTTGCGTAGCAACCGATAGATGAGTCAGTGGAGTATGGGTATCGCGTCTGCATAGACTATGTGTGGAGCGAAGAACTCTACATAGTTCATCAGTGGCTACTTTATCTGTTAGACGTACGCGTAAACCTACTTCTGAATACATTCGTGGATATACCTACATGTGTGTGCAGAGACACACGTGTTTCTTCGTAGACTTGAAATACAAACACTTGGTGCAGAGTGGGGGACATCGCTATGAGGTCAAGGCCATTTAAAGACTAAAAGATGCTTTCAAACTGTATAGCCTGGGAGTGAGAATCTTCTTTCGTACCCCGTGTTAGGTAGCTCATGCACTTGATTATATATGCCTATGTATATGTATCTACAAGTATATGTGCATGTAAATGTAAATGTAAGTAACCAGTGAGGTACATCACACTCTATCTGGCATAGAATGAGAGCTACCTAATAAGCAATAATATAATACAATTAAGTGAGAATTTATACGAATACACACATATATAGATACATAGGTGTGTATGAAAGCCAACTATAAACCCAAACACACCCAACCCAGACGTTGTCCTTAACACACAGCCTATCCGCACAAGCCTCCTTCAGTCTTTCCGCCTCACCTGTGGGAACTGATTGTTGAGGTTCAAGGCCTGCTGCAGACGAATGCGGGTCTCCACCACACTCTCACACAGTGTCAGCAGATGGCGTGTGTGTACACCTTTAGTCACTTCATCGTCGCGCTCTGTGACGGTCTTAGAGAAATGGCTGATCCCTTTAGCCGCTTCCTGTTCATCTTCAGCCTCCAAGGCTTCGAGACTTTTGCGTAATTTCTCTTCCTCTTCGTCCAGATCTTGCTCGTCTGTATTGTGTACAATGCCAAATTATAAGCTGAATACAGTTAGACAATTGTTCAATACTGCCAAACTATATATTTGTATATATATATATATATATATATATATATAGAGAGATATATATATATATATATGTATGTA